AAAAAAAGGTTGGGTTTTTTTTCTTCAGCTTCTCAAACTAGGTGTACTTAAAAAAAAAAATCCCCACAAGGTATAGTGCTACAAGAAAGAAGATCCTATCAGTAAGGTAACATATTTGAAGCGAGGTCATCTATGTAAAAAGACATTTCAGCTCCGGAGTAGAGGTGTGCAAGTCGTTTGGAATTTCCCTATTAACACAAAACACGACGTTGTCTGTCGAAAGGAGGAAACCAACTCCACACAATAGCACATGCATGTGCTTTATAGAAAAGTATATGCTCTGTATATTTATTACTTGATGTGTTCTTAAAGGTTCTATTTCAGAAATCCTGGGTTAAAGACACAAATGGAGCGAAGGCCTCCACTTAAAACAACAACAACAACAGCAACAACCCAAAGAGCTCTTTCCCATGCCTTTCAAATCACTGCTGAAGAAACGGGGCCGGGCCGGGCAACTGCCCGTGGTTTCTTTCACCTGGACCCTGGAGGGTGACCAGGACACAGGAACTGCAAAGCACTATGGGATCGGACAGAGCACATGTTGTAGAGCTGCTGCCGTTCATGCATCAGTGGACATGGCAGCTCAGAAGCTTGGCTCCTACCCCCAGAGCGTTCTTCAGCCCCAGCTGAAATAGCACGGCATTAGTAGTGTCTTCAAAAGCCTTCAGAGTGTTCTTGTCTCTTTTGCTACAAAAGAAATCAGTTTCCTTAGTAGTCACAGATGTTAAAAGGGTATTGTCTGCCAATTGTTTCCTTAAAAACAAAAACGAAACCAAACAACCCCAAACACACACGCGCACACACACAATCCACAGCTATAACAAAAATAAAATTTGGCGACATATTTCAGTAAAGATCAACCTATGTGCAAAGAGTGGATTTTATGGTGACTAGGAGCTACTGTTCGTCTTGAACATGCAGCGTTATATTGCAACCTATGCAGTATCTAAGGAGTCATCCACAAGATGCAGGAAATCCAAACACTCCTTGGAATTGTACAACCCTACTCCAGAGCAGTCAAAGTGCTGCTTCTGGTCACATCGGTGCACCACACGCATGCCAGCCCCATCCCTGAGTAAGAGGTGTGAAAGAGTCCGTAGAGTCCCTGGTGGGGGAGACAGAGGGGGGATGCCACTTCCTGGTGGGAGAAAAATTTTTTAAAAAAACACCCCGACACACTCACCTCATATTGAATGTGGGGTTCAAAATGGGATGCCCCACAGCAACAGCAACAAAAATCAAATCACCCCCAATCCAACGGGTGAGTTGGAAAACAACACACACAAAAATGACCGACATAGAAAGTTGTCCTGAAAGTTCAAATAAAAACACAGTTTAGATTCCCACTTAAAAAGAGTTGAGGTAAGTGGCATCAATCTCGCTCTCTCCCCCACCCCCTGCCCCCCAATGTGGCCCAGACAAACTGAAATCATCCTTACGTTAACATTCTTAGGAACAGTCATTTTATGTATTTAGAAATCCCTAGAAAGAGAGGTTCTTGTTTGTTGGTTTTATTATTATGTCTTCTTTTCGCCCTGACTAATTGTCGTGGTGATTGTGTTCCATTGTAAACGAAAAGGCCTGTTGTTGTTAGTTTCAAAAGGAAAAACCAGGAACGAAACAGAACTAAAGACAAGTGTCGGTAAATATTGCCAAGGGAGGTCACACAGAGGCACGTGGCTGATGCTCTTTAGCTGAAGGGCACCGAAGAATCTCTGTGCCTGCCATTGTTGGGTCTGCTATCCAATGGCCTGGGGGCTCACCAAGGTCAGCAATCCCGAGGAGGCTCCCCGTGCACTGGTGTTCTTGCTACTTGCAGAGAAAGCTGCCACGGTGCAGGGGTGACCACTGTTCCCAGGAGTCCCCTCGACAGCCATTGTCCAGCAAGCTCAGAATGACTCCTGATCAGTTGGACGTGCCCACGCCCAGAGTCCCAGCTATCCGTCTCACGTGCTTAGACCCAGAGGAGGTACCTGCCAGCCGCAGGGTGGGCAATGGAGGTGAACAGTGGGCTCTAGGCTATGGCCCCATGGGTGCAGAGTGCAGTACTTTAGAAAGGAGCCTGACTCTTCCTGGCCACATTCGTTATGCCTCCAGGTGACAGGGCAGCTGCAGCGTTGCCCCAACTCCATCCCCAGCTCGTTTTTTCTTGCTTTTTCTGCAACATGGAGACAGACAGACGGACAGGCAGACACAAGTGGAGCTCCTGAAGGTGCCCTGTCCCAGCACGCAGCATCCGCAGGGGGTGGGTGGGAGTGGGGGAGGG